GCATACGCTCCCGGCAATCTTCACTCATCCCTTCCAGAAAAAACTCATCCACCATCATGCTACAATGAGGCAACATAGCAGGACTTGAGGGAGAGAGTAAGTGACCTAAAATCACTCAGCGGGCTTCCATGCCTAAAAAAACATGGGAACTCATGGTTTCTCAGTTTCTAGTCCAGCATCTGAACCACTACAAGAAACTGGCTCTCAGATGGATCATATAATTCTGACTCAAACCACAAGTGTCCAGACTCAAATTATTGTATTTTAGATACATTAGGTAAATACCTAGCTCTCTTGAGAAATCTATAATGCTGGGAAAGAAGGAAGGAAAGAGAAGAGGAAGACCAGCAGCAGGGTGGATGTACTTAATTACTGTGCTGATAGGTGCACCATTGGAAGACTAGGTTAGGGGCAGATCATTTTGGAGATGGTCTATCTGTGCGGTCTCCTAAGAGTCAACACTGACTTGATTACATAATCATAATCACCATTCTCATTAGAATCCATTTTAAAGTTTAATCACAGTGGCTGTGTTTACCCTGTATGCTTAATCACGTCAAAGGTTTAACAGCTGCAGTTGTACAACATGCTAAGCTTTTTTTAGTTTTAACCTCAGGTTTTTGTGGCTTAACAGGTGGTACAAATCCAGCTTATTTTGGTTAGTTTATGATTGCATGGGTTAATTAACCAGGTTAAGCATCTTGTGCAAAAATAATCAGTGTGTGGAAGGGAATGAAGGGAGTATATATGAATGAAGTACGTGCATGTGAATGAATGAACTATGTGTACATGTCTGGCATATGTGTGAGAGGAAAGTGAGGGTGAGTGTGTTCACATTTTGCACTACGTCATGGTTTTGCTCAGCAACAGTTTGAATAAACCACAACTGTCTAGTTTCACACATAGTGTTAAGCCATAAACAGTAAATTGCAAGCCACGATGATTAAGTTCATAAATATGCTCAACTAAAAGTAAACATTACATTATGTTTAACATGGTTAGTGAAATTAAGTACTGTGTATGTATCTAGAATAATGTGTTGAAGGCCATAGGGTCTGCATATTTTGGAACGTAGTCCTGTTATCATGAGCTTCCTCTTCCCATATTTTACCACAATTAATTTGGCCTTTGATGTCAGTGAAGACTATTTTAAAGCCAGATGTTCCACCTAACAAACTGGACCGCATATAGTAGTTTATGCGTTTAATTTCCCATTTTTCCTAATTATTAAATAACTGAGTTAAATGCTATTAATTGAATTGTTTAACATGACATAAATGTTTTAATATATTACTACCTTTGATTAGTATCTGAAATATGTAGATTTTTGTGGGTGATTCTTTTTTTCTCTTTTTCATTTCTTTTTTGTAAAATACATTTTTTAAAAAAATTAAAGCATAATTGCAGCATGTGGTAGGAAGTCATAAAATCAGGGCAATAATAAATTCAAGTAATATATATTTATTTAAATTATGTGTACTTTGTCTCACTTAGAATAAATCTACCTTCCTCAATTTATAGATCTCCCAAATTGTTGAATCACAATTGTTGGGCATGCTGGTGGTAGATGATAAGAATTGTAAGGAACCCAGATGGGGAAGTCTGGGTTCTTTTAAAAAATATAAATCAGCCTCACAATTGAGCAACAGTGACAGAGTTCATGTAATACATTATAGGTTTGCTTAATCATGGTTTGTTACATAACTACAATTATCTGGGCTCCCAGCACATGCTAAGCCAAAGCAAAAAAAGCCTACTGCAGACTACTGCAATGCGCTCTACATGGGGCTACCCTTGAAGAGTATCCGGAAGTTTCAGCTGGTCCAGAATGCGGCCGTGCGAGCAATTTTTGGGGCCCGAAGAAAGACCCATATAATACCTCTGCTCTGTGAGCTGTATTGGGTACCGGTTTGCTTCCGGGTCCAATTCAAGGTGTTGGTTATCTCCTTTAAAGCTCTACATGGCATGGGGCCAGGTTACCCGAAGGATCGCCTCGCCCCCACGATTTCAACCCGTCCCACCCAGTCTCACAGAGAGGGCATGCTCCGGATCCCCGCAGTAAAAGAACTTCGACTAGCAGGGTCCAGAAGGTGGGCCTTCTCTGCTGTAGCCCCTGCCCTTTGGAACATCTTGCCCCCAGAGGCGAGAGAGGCCCCCTCACTCCAGGCCCAG